ACAGTCTGCCCTCTGGGTGTCAGGGAAAGTTTGGTGATTAGATAATGAAGAGGAATAAGGACAATACCCAAATATATATATCATAGCTTACTATTAATGAGATAGAAAGTGTGTGTATGTGAATTTATTTGTGCATCTACAATAGTCATGCTTGATGTACCACATTAAGAAGCACTTCAGTCTCTCCTGACTTACCCATCATGTATTAAATACTGCACAGGGCTGGCCGATATGACAATGAAACAATGAACATTTTTCAGCTGTCAGATTTTCTCATAGTGTCGGCTATTTATAAAAGCACTGACACACTCCATCAGTATTGCTGTACCATCTCAGGGTGTACCGGGCCGCTGCTGAAGATTAATAAAATGAGATGAGGTGAGATAAACTTTATTAATCCCACACAAATTTATGTTGGTCTTATTTTCAAGCTATTTCACTGTTGCAAACAAATTTGCAATGTTGAAATACAATAATTAAAGTTTTCTAGAGTTGTGATGTGCTCCTGTGAGCCCGATCGTTTGGTGTAAGGTGGTCATAAAACTCAGTCCGAGCTGAGTCTCTTTCTCATCTTGACATCCAGATAAAATCATGTGTTTAGTCTTGGCTCATGCCAATACTGAAGTTCATGACATGTACACTGTCAACAACCAATAACTGCGCTCTGTCTCTAAGAGGAGGCAGCAAACCAGGGAGACAGTGAACATGGAGAGGATTTCAGGGAGGCACAAAATATGAAGTAGTTTTTTTTTCTTTGTACTGAGGAAAAGGAAGAGAAACTGGTGGACTTGTGAAGCGAACAAGAGTCTCTTTAATTCAGTGTTTATCTGATCCACCAACAAGCACTTTTGGTGAGGGATCTTAATTTTTGTAAGTAGTTGAGGCGTCAAAATCCAAAATGTAAATTTTTACACAATTACAGTTTCTCTTTATGGATTATATTGATGCCGAATTGACAAGAATACTGTCGACATGTGACACCTTTTATCTTATGTTTCTGGAGTGATGTGTTTTTTCAGAGATGCAAGGTATTCTTAAAATATCATATTTCTTAAAGGGACTTTGGCGTAATATTTCCCACGTGGAGCTGGATGGGAAATAATCTCAAAAGGAGTCTAGTTGTAGTCTTTCAAATACTGACACTGCAAAACCTCCAGTCTTTGTAAAATCTTAAAGTGTGTGACTAAAAACTCACATTGTCTTTAGATGTGAGAGGGTGTCACACTTTAGGCTTTTAAACGCTGTATACACTTTTCATTTATACAGATACTGTTCATCCACGATGGCATTGAAATATATAATATATATAAATATTATTGCAAAGTAAGTTGTAATTATAGCACTAATGAGCAGGACTGCTGATGGGAGTTCCCAAATTAAGGCCATTAAACACCTGAAGTACTCTGTAACAAACCCAATTATTTTCACCATCGTCATATAATTCAGTGAAAGTTTTAAACAGTATGTGGTGTTTATAAAGATTGATCTTAACTTATTTAGACTGTTTTATATTTGCTTGGTTATAGTGTTTGTTTAGAGTTGTGATTAATGTCATCATAATGTTCTCTTTCTTGTCTATTATTTTGTGTATTTAGCATTCGTTCAATTGGTTGCTTGTAAAGTTGGAGATCTTATAAATGTACGCACTCTAGTGCACTTACATTTATTGCTCTTAAAATAGGCATCTGCTGAATGCCCAGTCTCATTATCATCTGACAAAACATCACCGTGGCCATCTTGCAGTTGCATTTTAATTGGTCACAGTTGCTCTGACTGACAGAAACCACCCAACATGTCCTGTCCAGTGGCATCAGAGCGGTACAATCTTTTCAGCTTTGACAGCTTCATTAACTTTTGTTTCCTGGAATTAGTTTTCAAACAGTCTAGCTCTGCACCCTCTTTCTACATTTATCCAAAGACAAGACAGTAATAGAGTAACAAGGAGCAGCGTGAATGGCAACTGTAAAATATCATATCATAAATCTAAATTTGGACAATCAGCTTTTTCCGTAAAGGGCTGTCAACTCTGGGACACATTACAAAGTGAAACTGATTACAGATTTAACATTCTTCACAACAAAGGTCAAGTGCTGGGTAAAAGCAAACCAGAGCTTTAGCCACTCTCAGCTAAATGTGCTCAAACTTTTAAGGGGTATTAGCAGTGTTTTGGTGACTGACATCTTCAAATCTTGATGCATGATGTAGGAAGTTTGCAGAGCCAAACATGTGACAATATCTGTTCATATAGAATATATTCTTATTTTTTGAAAGCACAAATTACTTGTATTTTGATTACAGTAAAAACATTTTCTCATACTGGTTTACTGTATTTTATTTTGATACATTTAATGAGTAAGTATTTGTGATTTCATAATGAGATACTTCTTGATGTATTTGTGCCCACCTCCACAAAATTAATGTGAAGAACGTTGATTTTTCTGCATTTGGTGAATCGGCCAAAACAAGGCATTTGTGTCCTGCATTCATTGCAATAAACTAACTGTAGACAGAAAGCCAGAGCCACATTTAGCAGTACAGCACTTGTGTTACCTGTGTATGACATGCACAGAGACCTATCAGAGCAGCTGCTGTGTTACAGTGGCTTTTGACCTCTACAGTGAGCAGAGAAACAAAAAGCAGCTTGTCTCACATTAACCTTCATGTACAGCAGCCATTAATAAAGTTGTTCCTTCCACCGTTTCAAGAATATGCATTATGGATATTCATCTACAAGGTGAATTAATTAATTAACAGACAGATTGCTTTATAATAAGTCCATAATTAGTGGTGACTATATCACAGAATACGTGGTGTAATAATTTGGATCATTCTCTGTAAAGTATCTAATATCTCCCTAATCTGCTGCTTAGCTGAATAAATCCTGACCATTATAATCCCCCCACTTATGTGATGTAACGTGACGCCTCAGTGGGTGTCCTGTAACTGAAGTCCAGGTTTCAGAGGATTATCACGGCAATCTTAATTTCATGTTGGTTGAAGGTTTAGGTCCCAGCTACAGCTCCGCTCTGGTGCTCTGAAGTCTAAGCTGAGCAAAGACTGGACGGCTGCATGGGCTGTGATTTCTCTGTGTGTGCAAAGTAACACATTGATTAAACAATAAAAGGCTCGGGGAGGGAGAATAACCTGTGGGGTCGACAGGAAATTGCAGCTGTACGACACAGCTGAGAACAAATCTTGAGGAGTCAGCGGTAGTAAACATGCGCCATTGCAGTATGGTCGTCAACATCTCTATCGCTAAGCTTAACTGAACCCAGCTATGTTATACAGTTGGTATTAACGTGTGATCTGTATATGGAGAAATTATCTTAATACAGCTTTACATTTACACCAGGGGCTGTATTCACAGAGCTTCCCAGTGCTAAGAGTTGCTCCTAGTGACCTTGTTTTCTTAGAATTTCCCCTTAAAGTTGAGACTAAGTCCTTGTTAAGATAAAAGTTATTCACAGAGCATCTTAGACCTTAAAAGAGCTCCTACGGTGAAAAACTGATTGGAGCAGGGAGGAGGACATTTAAGATGCTTAAGAGTTTCTTTAGCAGAGGAGAAAATGGTGGAAACACAAAGAGGTACCATGGGAATTTTTTAAAGTAGCTGCTGGCAGTTAGCAGCAAAGAACAGCTGCCAAAAATGTCCACAAATTGGGAAAACAATGAGGTCCAGGAGCTCCCCAGCATTTGAGCAGAGGAAAAAAAATCACCCATCAAATGTATGAAAATAAAATGGTATGAGAGAATGTATTTACTGTAATCAAAATACAAATAAGTTGTACTTTGAAAAAATAAAAATGCATTCTAAAGGAACTGATTTTATTACATTTTTGGCATTTAGTGCTAATTAAGAGACGTCTCCTCTGCAATGCAAGTCAATGGGAAAAAGTCCGGGCATCACGTGACGGTGGAATTACACTGTTTGGCCACTACAAAAATTGGCTTCAAAACCCAGCACACTTCTTAGGGGCCTGGTTTGCATCAGTTAACTTGGATTTACTAAACAAAGATCAGTTTTTAATAATGCAACAGAGCTCTGCTTAACTTTAAATCTGAATGTACTCATTTTAAACCTAGATTTGCTAAACTCTGATCACAACTAATCTTAGATTAAATCATCGTTGTCAGTACAACTCAGCATTAGTTTCATAAAAGCCCTTACAGGGAATGGTTGCAAGCTAGTGCCTGCTATAAACAGTATGATATTTCGATAGCTGTTTTCAGTTTGTCTGTATGCTGTATCTGTCCCTTTTAAATAAACCATAAATAAATAAAAACTTATTTTACCTTTGCAATAAACTACAGCTACAGTTTTTGTGTCTCTGTTTTAGGCAAACAGTTGCCCAGCAGTATTTATACATCCAGCAGAAAGGCTGCAAACTCAGCATTCACTTGGAGTTATGTTTCTGTCTATCTAAAAAAAAAAAAAAAAAACCTCTGTTTGTTCACCAGCTAGTTGCTAATTTTGTCTGTCTGTCTCGTTCTGAGCGAGTCATGCAGCCCATATATTCTAGTTGTCAGAGCTGTTTTGCTGACTGCTGAGGTTGAAAATTACGCGGACAAGAGTAGTAAGAGTGAATCAAAACAGCAAAGTTGTGGAACCGTAAAACCAAAACAATGATGTTAGAATGCTCTGAAGAGCTGTGTGATCATCTACTTTGTTAATATAACAATATTGATTACCGCAGCTTGTGAAGAGTGTTCGAATGTACAGCTTGTGTTTGAACCTGACTGAGATCTGATCACGATTCAAACCAACTCCAGATGTGGTTCGACCGATCCAATAGCATTTTAAATGTGTTCTGCATGCATTGCCATTTACAGCTTTAAAGTGCTTTTATCCTTATCCACATAACCAGATACTGATTACATGGTAACATCAGGTGTGAATGGGGTCGTAATGTCAAGACCACAACACCACAAAAACACTGTCATTCTGCTCTGATAATGAGAGTGTGAGTGAGCATGAGGAGAGATGATTTGCAGATTCTTACGCTGGTAACGACGCTCTTCCCTTTTTCTGACAAATGCCTCTCCACATACCCCGAAGACAGCAGATCACTGGGAACAGAGAGGAAAGAAAAAGAGAATTAAAGTTAGAAAATTTGCGATTTTCATTCAAGTGTCACTCAGATGTGCGGGCGTGCTTGTATCTTATGGGATGATTGTATTCAGTCTTGGCAGCACAAAGCTTCAGAGCATCTGCCTGGCTAATTATGACCAGCGTACAGGGACGGAGCTATTTCCAGCACACAAACTCACACAAACACAATTATACAAATCCAGCCTTGTAGCAAATGTCTGGTGTGCGTGTGTGTGTGTGTGTGTGTGTGTGTGTGT